AAGACAAAAGAGAAGAAGAGGTCTCGTGGGTGGAGCCTCAAAGTCGATCAAGTTCACGAGCCCTCAATCATGGACTCGTCCAATGCTCGTGACTTGAGACTTCATCTCACCGACGAAAACCTCAACTTCAAGGTGGTTCTTGGGTCGACCGAAACTTGAAGGGCAATCGTCCGGCTCATGACGTTAAAGAGTCTCTTGTTGGGAGGCAACCCAACGGAGGTTAGCAAGTTTGTCCTATGCTACTACTACTATCGTGTTGTTTTGTGTAATAACCTTGCCTCGAGCGAGCATGTGTTGTGTGTGTGTGTGTGTGTTTGTGTGTTTTTTTCTTCTCCTTGAAGCTCAAATATCCTTACCCGGAAACAACTACGACTTTCACTCACCAAGCAAAGAGGTAACATCGTTCTAACCCTATCTTACACCATTGAGGGCAATGTCGAGATTAAGTGTGTGGGGGTAGTTTATTATTATGCTTATGTGCGTGTGATTATACTTGGAGCCTTGATGTATGCCCAAATTTGAAAATTCCGAGGGCTCCAAGCAATGTTTTCATGATCAAAGTGGCCGGTTTGTGGGAGAATCTTGTGTTTATTGGCATTGACCTTGAATTGTTGCATGTGATCGATTTCCTCCGATGATGATGACTGAGAGGTGCATTAGGATAGCGCAAAGTTTTAGTTCTCATTTGTTCAAAATTGAATGGATGTTTTGACTCGATTACTTGTTCATTACAATTTCCATGCATGTTGCTTTGTGAATTTTAATAGATGCTTGGGTGAATAGGTAACCATGTGAGATTTGAGCCGATCGTTTTCTTCTTATGTGCTTAGATCCCTCTTACCATAGAGAGTAACATCATAGTTATCACTAGCGAGCATAGTTAGTAAATACTACGTGTAATACAAATATATGTACCTTACGTACTTTATCAGTTTAAAACTTCCGTATCTGTATTATTGTCAAACCGTTTGATTTTTTCTCGTTCATTTGATGGATCCCGTACTAAACACGTATAAAGCCCGTATAACACAATTGTTATCCCCAGTTTACGAATTAAATTGTTAACAATACTATTATTTATACATTTATTTTTAAAATGATTAATTTTATATATTTATGACTCTTAACGTACTATTAAACGTAACTTTAGCTTAGAGACGAAGTATAATACCCGTACGTATTTTTTATGTAACTTTCCCGTACCGTATTTTACTAACTATGCTAGCGAGTATGATGGAGGCATAGGATTAGTCCACGCCCAAATGTTGATTGTCCCGAAATGTGTTACCCTAGTCAACCCCTTTGAGCCTTGTGACTTCGAGGGTCGTTCTAATTTTAGGAGCTTCTTGCTTGTGATCTTAATGGTGTTTGATAGAACGACCCTAATCCTTTCTTCGTGTCTATACATGAGTCATCCTTGTGTCTCGGAGCTCTCGCTTTTGAGTTCCATTGAGGTTCAACATAGGAGGATTTTGTGCGGTTCTTGCTAGGAATGAAAATGGAAAGGAAGGTGTAGTGTTGGAGTAAGTTCTTCAAAAGTTAGCATTGGTCATGAAATGAAATGTGGCAAGTGTTTTACTCTCTAGTACTCCACTCAAAAAGAAAATAAAATAAGAAGAAATAAAGAAAATAGAAAAGAAAAGGAATCGAAAAAGAGGTAAAAAAAGGAGAAGTAAGGTTTTTGGCCGATGCTAGTGGCCATTTCTTGTAGAGAAGGTTCTTAGTCGAAACCATAGAACATTCTGGTTTAGGTTGATTATGTAGAACCTCATGTTATGTCTGCCACCATCCAAAAGGCCTTTTCCCCATGCCCAAGACAATTGTCACTCATTTGAACCCGTGTCTAACACCTCCGGACAAGCTAGTGATGAAAACCATCCCGTGAACTTTAGCATTTAGAGGTTGCAACAGTGTTGTTGAGACGATCGGGCCGAGTTTTTATGATTGTGCACATTCTTTGCATCATAAGGTCCCGACCCCATTGGTAAAGAGAGTGAGCGATTCATTCTTGTTTTGCATGACATATCATACCCCGGTGAGGACCTTTGTTGCCCATCTATTTGTTCCTTGGACTTGAACTCTATGCATGGTTAGTTGTCTTTGATTAGTGATCTTGTGGAGACTTGCATTGATTCATGAACAAGGTGAGAACTTTTCATTTGCCCGTTTCTGGTGGCTTTGACTGTCGTTTGTGGTGCATGTCGGTATTCCTTGCAATGGTCAATGTGTTAATTGCCAATGGCCATTGAGAATTTCCACTTGGTGCCCTTTGAGTTGTCCCCAAAGTATTTTGTTTGGTTGAGATATTACCTTGTGTGAAATGTTTTGCTTGGGGACAAGCAAACATCTAAGTGCGGGGAGTGTCTCGCGCCTAATTGTACACTTTTATCCCCGTTTCTCTTTGACATTTGTTGCAATTGAGCTCCAAAAAGGGATGGTTTTACGCTAGGTGTCGTGTGTTTTAGTGTGTTTCATATTCTAATAGGTGAAACCAACCCCTGAGTTGAAAGTTGGAAGAAAAGGAGCAAAGAGTAGGAAACAGCATGTGTTCAAGGCTTGCCATTGGAGTTCAAGGTCTTACAAGAACGTGAACTGGAGCCATAATCCGTGAACCGTAAAGTGTCTAAGGTGATTCAAGAGGTTACTGAGGCCGAGTGAGTTCACGGTCGCTAAGAACTATAAGCACAAACTGTGAACCGTGGATGTGAAGCAGTGCGTTTTGGTCTAATCACTGAGTTCACGGACCCGTTTCCATGTTCACGGCTGTGAACTGAGGTCTAAGACCTTAAACTGAGGTATAAGACCTTGAACTGAGTGAATTGAGGTCTTAGACCGTGAACAAAGCACAATCTGGGTATAAAAGGAGAAGGGAGTTGAAGGAGAAAGGAGATCTTTTTGGTAGGCTTTAGTTTTCAGAATAAAGAGGGTTCCTAGTGATAGATTAGGGTTTCCTCTTCCCATTATAGAGAGATAAAGTGTCATTCAAAGGAGGAAAAATAAGATTTGGGCTTGCCCTAAGCTAGAGGAGTGAAGATTTCTTTACCATTTTCAGAATCTTGAGAAAATATTTAAAATGAAAAGGAATGATTAGTAAAGCCAAACGCCAACTGACTCTATCTGTGCACTACGTGTATCGGGAAGGATCAAATATTAATAAGACCGAATATTTATTAATAGCACACAATTTTTATTCAATCGAAAAGTAAAATTTATTTTTATTTTTAGCGTTTTCATACTCAAGGTATGTGGTACCCCAGATTTCACCCTAGGTAACGCCGAACTCCCCATATATATGGGGACTGTAAAACGCTATCCAGACCTTGAATTGACTGATCTTTCGGACATGATACTATACTCTAACCCTTAAAGATCAAAATCTAGGTCTTAATTTTCTAAATCTTATACCCTAAGATCAATTTAATTAGAAACAATAATCGACGGTTATGATTCGTCCAACTATAGGCAAAAAAATGAAGGCACTATCTTAGGGTTTATAGTTTATGAGTTAGATAATTAGGAACTCGGTTCACTCATTAAGGGTTGGGGTATAGTATTAGTCCCAAAAATCGTGTTAATTCGAGGTCTAGATAGCGTTTTCAGACCCAAGGTATGCTGTACCCCGGATTTCACCCGGGGTACCGTAGAAGGCACCACATATATTTTAATATATATAATTATCCAATCGATCAATATTCAAATTTTCGTAGAGTTAAAATCGAAGGTAGTACCAACGTGGCAATGAGTGGTATGAAATGTTTTTGTTGCAATATATTGAAAATGTATCTCATTTGGTAGATCAAAACGAACTCGTTTCACCTGTGAAAAAAGTAGTGTATATGCATTGTTTAAAATAAAATCTAGGATGTTAGTAAATTATTTTTTTGTGATATCCAATTGCCCTATATGTCTATGGGAGATCTTTCATCCAACCATTCATCGTTAAAATAAATGTTTACTACAAGTTACCACCCATATATACCAGGGTGGTATGAAGTGATATATTTAGGTCATGTAACCACTTTTATCGGTTCGGTTATTTGTTAAAACCGATAACCGTTTACTACCCCTATTCTTTTGTTTCGTTTTCATGAGGAATAATACCAAATAATTCTTGAAAGTCATCGATATTTTTGTAGGGATAAAATACGCACTAGTTTATGTTTCGACATTCATCGATATTTTGGTATATACCGACCCGAATCCCGTAATCCCTGATACCAAATAATACTTGAAATTCAATCTCAATCCCACAAAATAATATGTGTATTTGATGATACAAAATATCGTCAAATTCGATACGAGATTTGATATATCCCAAATACCAATATAGAAATTCCATTCATACAACCCCAACTGAGCGTCCAGGTAAACTGAGTTAATTGGACATTAGTGGGCATATACTATAATTAAGAAGAGTCTTTGTATAATGGTAAAGGAAGTCGGTCTTCTTATCTTTTGTTTGGTATTGATGAGAAATAATATGAGTAATTCATTAAAAGGAAATGAAGTCTTTGTTTATCAGATCAATGGTTGGAATATAAAGAATGACGAGCTTAATTAACTGGGCTTACCTAGCTAATAGGAATTAAAAACAAAATTGCCAATCGAATATACAATGATAATAGGAAGGTGTTTATCAAAACTTGAGTTAGTTGTGTTGTGAGTCAGCTGGGTGTGAATGATTAAAGAATGACTAGCAGAGTGTGTAGTTGTGGTATTATTAATTCAAGTCATGGAGAATTATTATTCGATAAATGGAGTCTTTGTTTAATAATGATGATTATTATTATTATTATGATTATAATTGTATCGGACGGAGATCAAAGAGAAGCAAGCGCGTAGGGTTGACTTTGAGGGTATGTATAAATATAGCGATGATGTGGGGAGAAGGAACACAACACAACACAATCCTTTCTTTTCGATCAAATTCTCAGCAGTGCAGTGCTAGCGTTGTTGATCTTGATCCTTAATTAGTTCGTAATCCTCCCCAAGCCAAGAACATGCCTGTTCTAACCAAAACTTGCCGGATGGCATTGTCCGCTAACGAAGTGTGGGGAGCGATTTCTGCTGCCACAAATATGTACCCGGCCGCCATGCCTAACCTGATTGCAGGCATCCGAGTGACCAGCCGAGACGGTGTTACTGCCGGTTCGGTTCGGGAGATCACTTTTGGAACTGGTACGTAGCTAGCAAGCAATTACACATCATTTTCATTAATATATATATATAATAATCGTATTGTATGACGTCGTATATATGTTGCAGCCACAGCAGGTATGGTCAGCCAGGCGACCGAGCAGATTACCAGGGTCGACCATGCCACTCGAACCGTCGAATCCACCTTTAACAATGATAGGAACTTCGTGGGCAGACACTTTCGTTCTGCCTCCTTGGTCGTAAAGGTGGATCCCAACAACGTCGACGATGGCCCCAACTCTCGAGGTTCCACAATCACCTGGACTTTGACCTACTCATGGATTTCGGCTACTGCATCAGGCGGACTCAACTTGGACGTTTTCTGGAATGCTATAGAGCAGGGATTCAAGGATTTAGACACTTACATCTAGGCCCCCGCCCATAAAATCCTTCATCCATCATCCATCATCCACTATGGCTATGCACCACGCTTTTTTAATTTGCCTTTCCCTCTACTCTTTCTTTTTTATCCATCTCATGTTATATTTATGCACGTTGGTGTGCAGTGCTCAATAATGGATCACTCTTGCTCGATCTTATCTTCTTCTTCTATTTTCCTGTCCTGTTTGCTTCAGCTTCCTTGTTATGTAAAATATTGTGCCTCTGTGACTGTGAATGTCATAATTAATTTAATTTATGTGTACTAATTATATCCTTGAATTTTTGCTTCACATGCAATAATTAGATATTATTAGCACGCAATAAACCATCGACAACACCCTAGTTACTTAGAAGAAAATTAGACATGACAGTTCTATTTTATCACTTCTCTTGTGGGAAAAGGAAGAATGAGAAATAGAGGAAACCTAAAATTGGCAAGGGGAAGAAAAGCTTGGATAGGGTTAAGTCGGAGAGTGATTTTTTCACAGTACGGAGAGTGATTTCTTGGCCGAATCATCAGTATCGGACTAAAAAGTATCCTTCGCCTATATATCGATCTCCGACCACTCATCTCGAACTTATGGTTCTGTTTGATTTCTAGTCAGACAAGCACTTCTTTGCTTCCTCCAAAAAAAACTACCATTTATGTATACGAGCTGACCAACCCTACTATTCCGCATCAGAAAGACTCATTGGAGGGAAGTCGCTAACATCTCTCGTACGTGCTCTTGATCACCGTGATGGTGGTGACGACGATGAGGACCAAAGCCATGCCGACAAAGACGATGCAGCAGCAACAGAGGAAGAGTCTTACAACGGGCTGATGTTCTTCGACAGCTACGGGCAGATCGGGGGACAAGAGGCGTTGAAATGAAAATCAACGATTCTGTCGATGATTTTTGTTTTTAAAATTAAACGAATCTCATAATTTGGGTTAGAAAATTAGGGAGTGAGGTTCACCCATTAAAATTTAAGGTATAGTATCGGCTAAATTGCAAGTTTGGTCACTGGAATTACTTAAAAATTTCACGTTTGCCACTAAAATTAATTTATTCCATTCGTAGTCACTTAAATTAGGTTAACAGTTCAAGTTTGGTCACTGGCCGTTAGTCTCCGTTTACTTTTGCTGATGTGGCGGTCAACTCTTATAGTTGACCGTTAAATGAGTGACGTGGTAATTAAAAAATCAATAAAATAATTTAATTTAATTATTTTTTATTTTCCACCTAATTATTATAAAAATAAAAAATCTAATTCCTTTTAATTATTATTTTCAACTTCCCGTCGCCGTTCCTCTCCCCTCCGGTCGACGACCTCTCCCGGCCGGCCAAGCCCCGCGCCATCTCCGTATTGGGCCTCCTCAATTCCAATACGGAAGAGAAAGCGGAGAGCTTTGCCGGTGCGGAGGAGAAATTCAATAATGAAGATCCGGTGCGACGTGTGCGAGAAAGCCGAAGCCAGCATCTTCTGCAGCGCCGACGAGGCTGCCTTGTGCCTTACCTGCGACCGCCGAGTTCACAACGCCATCAAGCTTGCCGGCAAACACCTCCGCTTCTCCCTCCACCACCCTACTAGTACTACTCATTCCTCTAAAGACTCCCCACTCTGCGATATCTGCCAGGTAAATCTAATCATAGAAATATTGATTCAAATTATGATAGAACGGATGAAAACGTGTGGGACAAGATAAATCGAAAAAAATACTACTATATCCCGCCCCACACTACTACTACTACGAATCAAATAGGGTAACAACCAACAACTAACATCCATCCAAACATATCGGAGTCAAATCAGAAGTTGCCATCACTAATTCATTACTATCTAATATCAATTACCAATCGTGTAAGATCCTTCTACTAAGAAAAATCAGCTTCATGAAACAGGAGAGAAGTGCGTTCCTGTTCTGCCGGGAAGACAGGGCGTACTCTGTCGGGAGTGCGACGTCCCCATCCATGCACGCTGCCAATAACGAGCTGACACGCAATCACAACCGCTTTCTCTTGACCGGCGTCAAGCTCTCTGCTTTTTCACCTCAGTACGACCCCAAGACGGTGATGGCGCGGGGCTTTGTCGGCCGGGAGAGGTCGTCGACCGGAGGGGAGAGGAACGGCGACGGGCGGTTGAAAATAATAATTAAAAGGAATTTGATTTTTTATTTTTATAATAATTAGGTGGAAAATAAAAAATAATTAAATTAAATTAAATTATTTTATTAATTTTTTAATTGCCACGTCACTCATTTAATGGTCAACTATAAGAGTTGACCGCCACATCAGCAAAAGTTAACGGAGACTAACGGCCACTGACCAAACTTGAACTGTTAACCTAATTTAAGTGACTACGAATGGAATAAATTAATTTTAGTGGCAAACGTAAAATTTTTAAGTAATTCAAGTGACCAAACTTACAATTTAGCCGTATAGTATCATATCCCAAACTTCGGCTAATTGAAAATCTAAATAGCAAAACTCAACAGCGCACACCCCAGAGGCCCAGACATATAATATATAATCTGAAGTCTTAACCATTAATTAATATATAAATAACCCCTGTTTTGCATTAGGGTCCAGTGGGATACGGTCAGGTCTACCGTATGTCTGTACACCTCTTTTCCCGTGTGGTCCCTGTTTTCTTTCGTTCGCTTTTCCGTTTCGGTTCCCCCTCCGTTATTCCCTTCGAATCCATTTAGCGATTAGGCAAGCATAGACCCTTCCCACTTCTTCCCTTCCAGAAACAGAATCCCTAATCGATTGTCGATTCCACGTAACAGATAGATTTGACGGCTGGGTAAGAACTCGGCCTACCGTTTGTTCCCTGCGACCTCTTCCCAATTTCCCGACGCTCAGCCCCTGTCCTGACGATTAGCCAAGTTTCCTTCTTTCTCTGTTCTTTCCCGTCAATGGCAGCTAGAATGGAGATGATCTTGATTACGAACAAAACTTGCTTTTCTGAGTGTCGAGAGTCGAGGTTCCCGATTATGAATATAAAGCTAACATCGAGGGAGCAGGTTGCGGGCAAGTGACGATTGGATCGAACTGGACCGATAACGCTCGCACTGTCCGCATCTTCTTTGACTTCTCCTCAAGTAACCTCTCACCCACTGAATGTATATTCAGTGCTGCACCATTTTCATAGAAGAATCATATGAAAGACAGTGCCGGATGGTTAAAGAAAGATGTAGTGGGTGGTGATTAGAAGCGTAAACGGTTGACGAGCGTGAAGTACTTTGCTCTTCTATGATTTCATATCTTATTGAATTCGTTTCTGAACTCTAGATAAGTAGCCAACTAAGTAGGTGTTGCTGGCTTTCTTTTCCCTTTCAAATGCTTTTATATACCACTGATCATATATGCATGAGTGCCACCTGTTGACATTGAGAACCAAAAGGTGCCAAATGGCGACTCATGATGGTGGTGGCGGCATCATGATTTACAGAGTTAGAATGAAATTAAGACATTATTACCCGCCCCCGATTCTCCAAGACTTCCTCTCCGTTAATTAGATGCTCCATGATGCTACTCGAAATTGGTATTTCTTAATGTTGTTTTCATTTTAGACTCTGTTCGCTGCCCTGCTTTATGTTGAACTTGACTTCCTTCTTTTGGGTTTGTTATAAGTTATTAAATCTAACTTTCATATAACAAACTGTTGAACAAGCTTTGTTTCATGTTTCAACATATCAGAGCTTGCAAAAATTTATCTCATTAGAAGAGGGACGGTCATATAAAGTAGAGTTCACAATGCTTTTTTTAGCAGAGGTAGTCATTCTATAGCACCAGCATGCAAAAGTCATTATTAGTATATAAATGGTGATCAACACTTATAGATTAAAGCTTGAGACGTACATAATATTATAATTTACAACGAGGCACTGTTTTGTTTCATGATAAGGGTTTCTATTGATTTTCCTTTTTCTGTGTAAGAACATATATACAGCTTTTTTGTGATTTTTCCAATAATAGCACCTTTTAAAAAAAAATTACAAAAGTAGCACACATCCGAAAAAATTTACACTAATAGCACCTTTTTTTTTGGACCGCACCTCTAGGGTGCGGTTTATATATAAAACGCACCTCTAAGGTGCGATTTGCGCCACGTCAGAAAGAGAACCGCACCTCCAAGGTGCGTTCTGTGTTTGGTGGGCAGCAGCCTTGCAGACCGCAGGATTGTGTGGCGATCTAGCGGGCATGAGCAACGCCATGTCAGCGATCCGCACCGTGGATCGCAGAACGCAGCGAGGAGGAGCGGTTTGGCACCTTGAATCACGGAACGCATCGTTCAAGAGCGGTCAGCGCCTCGGGACGCGGAGACCGCATTGGAAGGGTGCGTTTTGTTGGGTATAAATATCCCCCTCCCCTCTCATTTCTTCACACCACAACCCATTCTTCCTTCTCTCTCTAGAATTTATCTCTCTAAACCCTCCCCTCCCAAAAGCCTAGGAAATAGTGGTCTGTTGGTTGCGGCTAAGTCCGATCTGCAATCAGAAAACATTTCTTAGGTTTTTTCCTCAAAACCCGCCGAGCCGAACCTCTGTCCGAATTTCCCAAAAAAATGGCCGATTGGTGGCAAGGAGAGGGAGTTTATGTCAATGAATTTCAAGCGGTACGTACTCATTATTCTGGTTTAATTTTTGTTGTTGTTATAAGCTTTTTAATTAATCTATGTACTGACCTCATTGTTATTTTCTCGTAGGTTGGGGAGGACGTGGATATATACAACCAACGGTATTATCTCGAGCAAGGACTGTTGGATCCAACCGACTTGTACGACCAACCCAACCATCGGTCAAGAGATGTTTGGAATGATCACCCGGTACATACAATTCTTCACCATTTGTCCTTCTTTTATTTTGTTAATGTATTTAGTGGAATATAAAATAAATTTATGTTGATTTTTTAATCGTGTTGGTTGTTTTCAATAATTTAATCGAATACATAGCGCCACTTACTTCGACTCTTTATGAAGAGATGCACGTCTAAGGAAATGGGGTTTTAAGCGATTATCATATCCTCCCATTACCTGGGAAAATCGGGTATTAAGAGATCCTCGGATCCCCCCTTTTTCTGTCAAAAAGACTTTGTTTCTAAGAAGATGTATACCTCTTCTAAGAGTCTAACGAGTGTTGGCTTAGGATCATCTTCGGTAGTTGGGAGGAGATGGGGGAGTATAGATGGGCATCCGCTTGCCTAGCTATGATCTACCACAACTTGTGCAACTTGTGCCATATAATTCACCTCCACCATGGATACCAGATGTTTGACCTGCTCGGCGTAAACGAACTTCTCGGCTTTGGAAAGATTGTTGGACCTCAAGAATTCGAGTATGGCATCTACCTCATCCTGAGTGGTTATGAGATATTCCTCATGCCACAATGACCCACTTTCTCTGTTTGGATATTGTACACCATACGATCAACTCTTCTGGTGCCATCCATGCAAGTAACGTTAGTGCACATTTGATGGAGGTCTTCAAGCAGCGGTCTGGTAGCGACCTTTATCTTCTGAAAATTGTCACCGACATAGGTGACCCCCTTTCCGGTCTCTTCCGTGTAACCATTCCATCGTAAGCCAAGCGTGAACGGTTGAAATGCCATCTGCGAAAAAACCGTAGTTCAGTTAATATCATAAAAATCACAAATCAAAAATAACAATAAAAAGTAATACAAAATAAACTTACGAGTTAACGTTAATCGCAAAACTACTAAAGAAATATTGAGCTATAACAGAAAATTGAAAAGGGAGAAGAAGTGTGAAGAGAAATGGTTTTCCGGGAAGTCTTTTATAGGCAAAATCACTGATGAAAACCGCACCTTAGTCTGCCATGCAGGCCCATGCAGACCCACGTCTGTTAGTTTGTATGGGCATGTCGGAAATTAATTAACCAGAACCACACTTTGGGGGTGCGGTTTATATAGTAAAACCGCATCTTGGGGGTGCAGTTTTGTTTGGGAGAAACAAACCGCACCTTCATGGTGAGGTTTTGATAGGTCAGGCAAAAACCGCACCTTGACCAAGCGGTTTCTGTAGGTCAGACCTGAAACCGCTTGGTCAAGATGCGGTTTTGGTCCAGGACTATAAACCGCACCTCTAAGGTGTGTTCCATAAAAAATGGTGCTATTTCTGTCAATTTTTTCGGATGGGTACTAGTTTTGTAAATTTTTTTTTTAAAAAGGTGCTATTTCTGGAAAAATCCCGCTTTTTTTTAATTAGTATCAAGTAAAGTACATGGAAGTTAAATCCTTTTAAAAAAAATCTATATCCTTACCTCAACCAACCACATAATGGTAACAATATGATCATACGGTTTGAGATGATTAACTTTTTGTCTTTGCTTTTAAGAGAATTCATGATACAATTAAAATAAAATCTCAATTTAGTAATTGGAACCAACTCAATTTATAAAAATGTCTAATCCACTCTAATCAAATGGTCATATGTAGTCTCATTCGATCTAATATAATTTAATTGATGGTCGTGCTTACCCGCCGCAAAGCGCGGGCCAATTATCTAGTATATATATATTATACACACGCATATGCGTACATAGAAGGACAAAGAAACCGATGTTTGTAAAACGGGTGCGGATAGTATAACAACACTTAAGATGTTGTTATTCTATCAACAAGGGCATAACGGTAAAATACCATTAAAAATAATACAACAAAAATTAAAATATTTGTGGATCGCGTTTCTCCTCTACTCCATCTCTTCCGACGTCTCCTCATCCATATCGGTTTCTTCTTTCCGCCTGCAACACTCTTCGTTGCTGTCACCTGCCTTCGAAGGTCGTTGGAGAGGCTGGCCGTACCGGCTTAGGATAGGGTGAGTAACCCTTTGTTACTCACCCGTGAGTAACCACCTAAGGACCGTCGATCTTGGCCGGACGGATCTTGTGGCTGTGATTGATGCGGTGATTTTTGTCCACGGTCATGGGCATTTTTGTCCAATATTTCATATTTGAATTAAATGACTTTCCCTCTTTGTCCGTTGTGAATCTTTCTGTGCGTGAGTTGGATTCGGATTTTGGAGAGAGAAACTACGAGCAGGGGGAGCAGCAGCTGAGAAAAAAGGACGGCGATTCTCCATGGTTGATCAACGGCGATAGAAACTGCGAGCAGCAGCTTCGAATCGAGCTTTCTGATTCTCCATAATTGATCGACGTGTGCGCGAGT